CCTCAAGGTCTCCGACTTGTCGGTCTGCCCAGACAACGTTGGCTGCAACACCTTCTCGGTAAGTTATCTCAACGTCGCTGCTCTCACAACATTACTAACAGAAATCATAGACCGCTCTGCTCATTGGCGAGAAGTGTGCCGTGCTCGCTGCTGAGGACCTTGGCTACAGTGGTGCAGCTCTGGAGATGAAGATTCCGCCATACCACGCTCCAGGCGAGTCTGTCGGCCTTGCACGTCTGTAGAGTTGAATCAAACGGAACTAGCAGAATGGCCAAAAGCTCTGGGAGGACTCTCGAAGGAGTGGATAGTCAATTAATTTGATATCTGTCATTCACCAAAAGCACTGTGTTTTGACTGCTCAACGTATCTTTCTCTACACTCTTCTGGCTTGATAGCGAAGGTATCTTGTCCTGCGTGGTGTTCCGATGGTGCCAGGGAATATCCAATGAATCATGCCTTGATGCAATCCTCAACCTGCACCTTGAATAGTGTCTGTACTTTCCAAGCGAGCAATCTTGCATGTAAGCGGTTCCTTCGTATTTCCCACGGTCAACGCACACTTGCCCTCTTTCAAGCCCCACTGGCTGGAACGTAACGGGCGGATCGGAGGATAAATTCGTTTCGTTGTTATGGTGGTGCAGCCAAACCTGATCGGCACCCGGTTGATTTTGCCGGAATCAATGTGGGACGGCACGGGCAGAAGGAAATGTAACGCGTCTGGGGTTGGTTGTGATTTGCGCCAGAGGATGATCAAAGGCAAGGAAGCTGTGGTGGCTACTTGCGAGCGACAGGGATGGATTGGGGGCAGTGATCGAGATTCAACGCCACCTCCAGTCTTTGGGTGACTTGGCCGCATGTGGGTGACTGGGGTGACTGGGGTGACTGGATCAAGCGCTTCGTCGGGCAGTGAAATTTCGCCGGGGAATGAGTACGCCTCCGATGTCATTCTGCAAGTCAGCGTCAGTGGGCGTTGTCTGAGTGCTGTGAGACCTCACGAATCGCAGATGATCTTCGTGCCCCTTCCTTCATCGCCCAAATGCTAACGCAACAGAGACTCGTGCTCCGGCGTGGAACCACAGCATCCGTCCTTGACGGCCCCTCAACGCCGTCGACCATTGGCCCTCAAACCCCACGAGTTGAGTCCCACCACTCTGAGCCTCTGACTATCATCCGAGTGTGAGCTCAGGCCTTGCGCTAGAAGCCTGCGCCCACCACCAAGTCAGGGACCAGCACCTCTGACGTACGTCGGGGTGAACACAAACAGACACTACCATGGCCAGGATGGGTGGTGCCCTGAGTGTTTGTGTCGCAACTGGAAAAAGTTGGTTCCTGAAGACTATTACAGAGCATACCCTTCTGAATTCATAATCTGACAAGAAGCTGTATAGCAAAGCGTTTCTCACTGTTGTTGTTAGCGATCCCATACCAACGGGCTGCATGCAACAAGCACCCTTTACGGCCACATCCATACGCAGAATACGAGTTCGCCACCCTCCATCCCATGGCCTCATCGGCTTGTCTCAGTTGGTAGACGCATAATGGCCGCCATCGATTCCCAGCCACGCATTAGTGGGAGTTCCACAACATCCACCTTCACGACTACAGGTACACCTCTCTCGAGTTACCCTCGTCGCCGGAGTCCCGTGGAATCTGAAAAGCTTCGTGGCTCCCGAGACTGCCATCCGTGCAACGAGGAACCTTCTCGCCGGAATTCTGCGTTTCTCGAAGTTGGCCTTGGTGGTGAAGATGCCATTGTCGACTCAAAATTAAGAAGAGATTCTCGACCGAAACTCCAAGTGCGCTTTCGAAACGATGTCGACGTGGTCGAACCTGAAGTAATTGACTGGCCCGAAACAACTCCAATTGACAGACCGTCTCATCCGCAAATGTCTCCATACTTTCCCACCCTGCCCCGATTACTCTTCCTTGCTCTGGTTATCTTGCTGGTGGTTCCAAGTCTGCACCATTCTCCCTCATTGATCGCCGACGCGAATCCCGTGAATCGTCAAGCGGGCTCCTCGTTGGTGAGGGGACTATGGCAGGGTGCGAAAAGGGAGACACTCCCAGGAAGTGTGAAAAGAGAGAATAGTGCAGCAGATGTTTGTAAGAGGTGGTCAGGGCAGAGCGCCCTAGTCAATGGGACACTGTACTATTATGGAGGAAGAGCAACCACCAGTGCTGACCAGACCTCGAACCAATGGAGTACGTCTGCCATCAATATAGGTTGCGTTGTGACGACTGACATTTGTTGTGGCAGATAACGATTTCCTAGCACTCGATCTGACAAAGTCCTGGCAGATTTCGTCGCCGTCACTGACGGGCCTCCCAATCCCGAGCGGGCCTCCTGCGGTATCGCTTGGATACTTGTGGAACTCTTACGATGCCCTGTATCTATACGGTGGCGAGTTTTCAGATACGCCTGTTGCATCCCCTGTTCCCTTTTCCCTCTGGGCATACGACATCTCTTCATCGACATGGTCAGGGTCGTCGAACCCAAAAACAAGCTCGGGCCGCAATTCAGAGCCAGCAGGGCAACCAGTTCAGCGTGCTGCAGAGGGCGCGGGGGTATCGGTGCCGAACTTAGGACGAGGCTTCTATTTCGGAGGTCACCTCGATTTCTTGACTACACCAGGGTGGTCAGAGTCAGTTGCCCGCGTCTATCTTCGCGGCATTCTTGAGTACACCTATCCCGGGTATAGCAACGCTGCGGTAAATAGTGGGCAAAGGGCAGGATCATCGGGAATCTACCGCAATATTACCCAAGGTGGTATTCAGGACTCGGCAGGGTTCCCAGAGCGAGCGGATGGCCTTCTTGTGTACATTCCCGGTTATGGAAAATCAGGCATCATTCTGGGGCTTGCAGGCGGTACGAATGCGACGTTTACTCAAATGAACGTGATTGACGTGTACGATATCGACTCCTCCAGCTGGTACAAACAAGCCACAACAGGACCGACGCCAGATATTCGGGTCAATCCATGTGCTGTTGCCCTATCTGCTGCTGATGGAAGTTCTGTTCAGGTCTATATGTACGGGGGCCAAAACCTACTTCCCTACGGTCAGCAAAAGCAGTACGATGACATCTGGATCTTGACCATACCGTCTTTCACATGGATCCAGGTCGATACCAGCAACCAAGCTAGTCCTCCTGCCAGAGCTGGACACATGTGCAATGTCTGGAATGGTCAAATGGTGGTGGTTGGAGGTTATGTTGGTCAGGATCTTTCATGTGACAGTCCGGGAGTATACGTCTTCAACACCAGTTCCCTTCAATGGCAAAGTGAATATGTCGCGTTGGCGACGGATGACAACCTCAATCGGCAGAAAAGCCAGCAAGATGATCCATCCGCATTGCAGGGATCGTTTGGATATTCAGTCCCAGAAGCAGTACAGTCGGTCATCGGCGGCAACGGTGTGGGTGCCGCAACTGTCTCTGTTCCGGCTCAGTCGGCCACTCAAGGACCACTGGCCACTGGCGCACCACGCCTATACACAGTCACCCAGTCTGGTGGTGCTGTGGCTACGGAGACCGCAGCGCCCACCGGGACGAGCGGCACTGAGAATGGTCCTGGTAGCAGTGGTGATAACGGGGGCTCATCCGGCGGTGTTAATGTCGGAGCAATCGTCGCTGGAGTAATCGCTGGAGTACTCGCCGTGGTAGCCGCCTATCTCGCATTCTGCGTCTGGCTCTATCGCAAGCGGCTCAAGATCTACAAGCACCACGTGGCCATGGCTCAAAGGCAGGATCTTGCAGACGATCCCCGATTCATTGGTGCTGGATTCGCAGGCGGCGCGAGATACACGGACAAAAGCCAATCGAGCGACAGCCGCCACAGCGCGGACAATCGCAGTGGAAGCAGCGGCGGGCGCGCCAACCAGTTGTCGAGCAACAACCCCTACCGAAACGTACCTGGGGGCGCTGGCTCTGCAACGGCAGCAAGCAGTACCGAAGACCTCATGGCAGGTCAAGAGCCCAGTTTCTTGGGAGTGGTCCTAAATCCCAGACGAAGCTTGAGGGTAGTGAACCGAGACTAGGGCCGCCATGCATTTCGCAAGTCTCTGGCATTTATGATTCTTGAGATATGCGAGAACGACCTTTTGACAAAGAAAAGCACACGATTTTTACCTACAGAGGATAGGAACATGCATGGATTGTCGATCATCCAGATACATGACGGAGGAGTAATTAGCAATGCCACCTTCGCTTCTGCATATATATACCCTTTGAGCGTATGATGAACTAGAGTCTTGATGATGATTGTTTGGAAATCAAATATTTGACCTCTTTACAAGGGTATAAACTGGCTGCTCGTGGATATACATCAGGTCGATAACGCAATTTTAGATTATCAGTAGATATCTTTATTATTCGTATTGACCTCCTACTTGTAGTAACTAAGTATTTACAAATGGCTGCCCAGGCCTGCTGAATACCTATTACACCGTTGATGTTCCGGGCATCTCCTCCTCTAGCCTTGCCTGAGGCTGGTGATTTTCGGGCTGTCTATTTGATCCACCCGGGCGTCCCCTTTCGGCGCTCCCCCTTCTCCCCACCCACCCTAAAGACCCACGAGCCTTAGTAGTCCCGCTCACGAAGAGTGGCCGCTGGCATCAGTAGAAAGATCTAGACCGACAACAAAAACTTTTTCTACTTTTACCTTGTTAAGCGCAAGAGTCACTGCCGACTACTACCCAGCGTGCCATCCAGCCTTGTCCCATTGCTACGGCCAATGTAGTATCGATGAGCCGACGGCATCCCCTACCAATCGCCACATGCTCTGTTCTCGCCTCTCCAATTGGATCTGGCTGACCACGCCCCGTCTCTTCCGATATCTTTTTGATATCAGAGACCTAAACTAACTCGGCAGACCGCAAAACAGCCTGTGCTTGCTGGTTACACGTTGCTCTCTGCGTGTTTGTGACCATCGCCTCCATTGCTTCTTGTGACATATAGGATACCCTTCTGCGCCTTTCTGAGAACGCACCCGGTTATCGCGATCATGGCGACGTCGACCTTTGCCTTCCTTGACACTCTGACTCGTGAAGTACCCGACCGAAGACATTCAACCGAGCATTCCAGAGCGACCTCAATTCCCTCGTCGCGAAATGCGAGTAGCACCTCTTTGTCGTCTCGCAAATCCGAGCCCGGCTGGTTCGGCGCAATGAACAACGTGGATCGAAGCCGCGCCAGCTCTGTCCCAGAACCGTCCTCGACAAAATCGAGCAGCGGGTTGAGCAAGCTATTTGGCAGGAAGGAGAAGAACAAGGAGAAGAAAGACACTGATCACGTTGTCCTCACATCGCGTCATGCAGCGGCTGTCAAGACTAAACTGGCTCTGGACCCGAAATACAAAAACGTGCATAGAAACTCGACGGCGACGGAGGGCTCTTCGAGTTCCAAGAACAGCCATGTTAATGAGATGAGGCGCCCGCACTCGGGATCACCTTCGCTTCATGCATCACGCAACAAAACAGACTTGCCTGCGCTGACCCGTATCGTCAGCGGCGACGAAGCTGATGAACCAGATGAGTGGGAGAAGATGCGCGACGAATGGCGGCAGCGCAAGGTTACTACACTGGACGCTCAGATCATCGAAGGCCAAGTGCTAGACAGTTCACAGTCGGGACAAGCTACACCCACAGAACAGGACACTAAGAACGTCGAAACACCACCACCACAACAAGCCGCCGAACAACGGGAGTCTAGGACCCTTTCGACTCCGGTCTTGAGCGATGATGAATATCAGCCACGACCAGCAAGAACCCATACACCGATTGGTGGTCGATGGAAAAAGGACGAGAAGGGTGTTTGGAAAAGATGAACCATCTGGGAATCCTGCATTGCGCCAACTTTCCTGCTTTTTCTTTCTCTTGATTAATCCCCTCCGAATTACGACCGGAAACTTTGCGCGATACTCTGTAATGTAATAGGTGAAGGATGGTCTTCATTGATAATAAAAATGTATACCCTCAGAAAAAAACACTCATCCGATATATGTACTATTAGCTATGCTACTTGAATACGATATGCTTCATGTGCCAGGCTGCGCTGTTCTTTTTGCCAAGTTGACTTGATGTGTCTCCCGATCTTTGACGAAAGTTCTTTGTGAAAATGCCATGGGAATATTTTCTCACAGCTATAGCTTGACCTACGAGCTGGTGTCAAGCGCCCACAACTTCTCAGTTGGACAGTTCAATGTTAAGGTGCACAGGTGCTGACACATCGGACACACATGCCCGCCTGCCATCCGTTCTAACCCTTGCGACTCGGTGACCTTTCCTGACCTACATTCCAACTCTTTTCAAGTCGACCCGAACCCCTTGTTCACAAAAACCCCTCGAGCGTATCACAAAATGTCCGGCCTCAATGGCACCCTATGCCACGCTGCCACGCCGCAGCCTGTCGTTCCTCTCGTGGTTTCTCCCGAGATTCTTTCATCCTCGCCTGCAAGTCGAGCAATCACCCGACCAGAACCAGCTTCAACGTCTCCTGCAGCCATCCTTTTACCGAGCCAGTAGTGAATGGTGTCAAAAGAAGGCTAAGGACATTTCGATGCCGCAGTTAGAGAACCAGTCGGAGAACGTGGTTTCCGACTTCTAGAGTGTCGGGTATTCATGCATAATAAAACAGCAATCATGTCTGCAATTCTGAGCAAGGAGAAGAAGCTAGCGACGCCTGCCATCGTGACTTTTCTCGTCTCTCTGAGAGATGTTAGCAGCAAATACTGGACGCCAGCGTTCCACAGCGTCATTCCCTGCTGTTTGCCATATTTACTCTGGCGGGACCCTCGATTTGGCGTGACTTGGTCACCGGTGCGGCCCCCTCGACAACAACGCAAAGACCGGGTCGATTTGAAGGGAATGCGGACCACAGCGAAAGCACTGCCCTGTGGGCAAGGCGTCACACAGGTGTTAAAACGCGCTGCTGAGACGGCCGTCACGTGGAAGAGTCGGTATTCAAAAATACACACCGCATCCAGCTTCCTGCTGACGACCATATCACTTGACGATGGAATGGAAGCATCCTCCAGAAGGTTCTCAGATCCATTCACCTGCTCCTACGGGCGTATTTCTGTTACACAGAGTCGAGGATGAAGATACTGCGGACGCTCGCTAGACGACTACTCTCCCTCCCAACGAACCTTGTGGCAAAGAGACGCCGGCTATACAAACTGGTTTGAGCAGGGAGGTTACAGGGGTCAATAGCCGAAGCCACGGAAGAGATCCGCCTTTGATCTCAACGCCCGACTCACACTTCGACGCCACGGTGCCCACAATCCTCGACCCACACTCGTTCCGTCGGATAACTTATTCGGGAACTTCATTTCCTCAATCAGCTTCCCTCTGGAACAGGCCAGGCGCGCCAGGTCACGCAAGAGAGGGGGCTTGGACCTTCACCAGTCTGATCAGGGATCTGGGCGATGAGATACGAGTCTCCATCAGCTTGCTGCCCCGCTCCCCATGCCGTTTCTGCTTTTTGCGTTGACGACATCCGGCAAATGACCACGGTCTGAATTTTCCTAACCAGTGGCGGGACACCGAAAATCCTACCGGCACGACAACAGGGGCGCCGCGAGAAACCACGGCCATCGATTGGCGGAGGTAATCATTGCACTCAATTTGGCTTGAAAATCACAGACGCAGATTTCATCGACCCCGCCACTGATTGACCAGCAATCCGGTGGCATCGGTGAAAAGATCGAGGACAGTGGCATGTTTTGCAGCACCACCAACGACCTTTGTCATACATGCCGCATCTCCGACTCTCTGACTCTGACACTCTCTTTTTACTTTCAATACTTCTCCATTCAAGTATAGTTGCCGCTCAGCCATTTCCAACCTGGGCGCCCCGCTCCAAGATGACGGACTTCTATCGTGACTGGTCTGCACGGCATCTCATTCCGAGACTTGGGCCTCTATACGAGTACACACGCCCTTTTCTCAATTGTTGTAAGTACACCGCAAGAAACCGCGGGGATTTTTCCAACAAGGTTTGTTTATTCTTTGCCCTCCTGTGTCTCTGTTTCCCACCATTTCCTCGTCTTGGAGCGACACCTTCTCCTTCTCTGCAACGCGATCAAAAGTGCTCCGGCTTCCTGAACCTGTTCTGTTTGACGATTTCGAGCCCATCCCATTCGACAGATCTCCTTCCCCCGCAATGTCAGATCCAGAAAAGCCCATCCCGCCAGTCGTCATTTCTCGATATCCAGACAGTTCCTACTCTTCCCCACAGACTCCTAATCACAATGAATGCTATTCACCCATTACTGAACAGTCTCCCACGTCTTCTGTCTCCAGATCCGAGTCAGACAATGATGAACGAGCCTTAACCCTCACAATCACACAAGCCTCCAGACAATCGGCCGCCAGAACGGTGACGAGAATAACTACTCATGGCACGGACCTCACACTAGATCCGTCCTTTGAGGTGGACTTTGACCCAGATGATCCTGGAAATCCGAGGAATTGGTCAATAGGGTACAAATCTTTTGCCATCTTCACGATATCCTTTGGCACACTGGGGGTGGTGATGTACTCGACTTCTTACACATCGGGCATGCAGGCCATGATGGAGGAGTTTGGTGTGAATTCGGAACCCATTGCCACTCTTGGTGTCACGGCGTACCTGTTCGGGCTGGCGGTAGGCTCTCTGCTGCTCGCCCCGATCGCCGAAACATATGGACGAAAACCTGTATATATCATATGCATGGCTTTGTACACCATCCTGGTCATTCCTGCAGCAATTGCTACAAATCTGCAGACTATCATTATTGCGAGATTCTTTGGGGCTGTTTTTGGAAGTGCCATGATTGCTAATGCTCCCGGATCCATTGCGGATCTGGTCTCGGATGAGTATCGCGCGACAGCTTTCTCCATCTGGTCCATCGGTCCCATGAATGGTCCTGTGGTTGGCCCAACGATTGGCGGCTTCGTCACTGAATACTTAGGCTGGCGGTGGACTAACTGGATAGCCATGATCTGGGCAGGCTGTGCCTTTGCACTACTGGTCTTTTCCAAGGAGACTTATGCCCCAGTCCTGCTACAGCGCAGAGCGAAGAACTTGCGAAAAGTCCATGACGATGACAGGTACTGGACCCGCTATGATATTCGGGTGGGATTTATCGAGCTGATGAAAATCAACCTCAAACGTCCGTTGTTGCTTGCAGTCCAGGAGCCCATTTGCATCTTCTGGAACGTTTACATATCGATCGTCTATGGTTCGTGGTTTTTCCCTTTTCTTGCCTTAGGGTCTTTGTTCCCGTCGTTGTCAACCACTGACCTTGCACTTCCCTAGGCATCCTTTACCTCTGCTTCGTTGCATATCCCATTGTCTTCACGGAAATGCGGGGCTGGTCCACCGGTATGAGCGGCCTCTCCTTCCTTGGGATTGGCATTGGTACTCTTATGATCATTGCGAGCGCATCGCCCATCCGCAAGCTCATCAACTCGCACAAAAGAGACGAGGAAGGAAACGTGCCGCCGGAAGCAATGATGAGCATTGTCTGCATCGCGGCTGTCTTGATTCCTATTGGTGAATTGTGGTTCGCATGGTCCTGTTACCCGACCAAGATCCACTGGGCTGTCTCTATTGCAGCGGGTATCCCGTTCGGTTATGGCAACGGAGCCGTGTTTATCTATGCCGGGAACTACCTCGCATACAGCTATGGAATCTATGCCGCCAGTGCAATGGCAGGCAATGCCGTCATGCGATCTGTTCTTGGAGGGACGTTGCCTCTGGCTGGACCGGCGATGTATCGCGCCCTAGGCCCTAACTGGGCAGGAACCTTGCTGGGCCTTCTTGAGGTCGTCATTATCCCGATCCCCTTCCTCTTCTACCGGTACGGTGGCCGCATCAGAGAAAAATCCACCTTGATTCGCCAGATGCGAGAAGATGAACAACGACAGGAGCGTAAGCGGAAAAAGGCAGAGGAGAGGCTACGCATCGCGGTGATGTGCGGTGATAAAGAAGAGACAAAGGAGGCCCGGAACGAGCTGGTCAGGGTCAGGAGTCGTTTGGACGACGAGAGAAATCTGGAGGTGGCCGGGCAGGAGACGCTGAATTGCATCCAGGGACTAGGGCCCGGGAGAGAGACGGTCTAACATGGCACATCCGACTACCTCGGTGAGGAAGGGCGAAACCGAGATTGCTGAGTGAAAGCCAGGGATCTGGACCATGTTGGTTTTTCCCAGGGCTCGCAGAGACGAAAGCATTGAGGTGTCGACGTTGCAACAGATTATGCACCTTCGAAACTCGAAGACGAACACATTGATGAGCACTGGGTTATGATACGGGGCGTACAGATGACGCCCGCGACGATTTCGACGACCACAACAACGGGAACGAACATAGATACATGGGGGTTATGGTTACCACCACCCTATTCGGGGATTTCGAGTTTAGAGATGGGGTTTACGCATAGATCCATGCCATTTACGATTCAGCATGGCGTTTTTGGCGCACAGCCTGGGTAAAAAAGAGCTTGGGAGAGAAACAAGTTGGGATGGAGTCTACGATGTAGGTAGAGAAATGGGTTTGGTTCCGGTTTGTTTTTAATGGTGTGTACGAGAGAGTCCGAAGCAGAAAGATCGATGTTGGATTTTGGTGGAGGAGGTACTGGTATGGTATTTGTCGATAGAACTATTGATGTATCTATCATAGATGCCTACTCAGTAGGTATGTAAGGGATGGCTCACTACCACCACAACCGCTAGATAGGATATTACAAAAGCCAATAGGAGAGAAACCCGCATTTTATCTCTCACCTCTTATGGAATCGAGACACCCACTATTGTCCATATCGATCATACTTCATTCATCATAAGACATGAACTGCCTAGTCGAAGCATGTGGACTGTGATTGTGATGTGTGTGTCACTCATCAACTCAACTATTCATCCCCTTTCCACACACTGAATCTTCAACCCTTCCACTCTCCCTACCGACTGCACGATGAGAACCATATTAGAAATTGGAGGCCGCCAGCGACTAGCCTTGCATGTATTCATCTATCGCCGGCCACAACGAGAGCGTCGCGCCCTGTGGTCAGCACCCATAGTCCGAAATGATGGGATCCAGCGCCACCTTTTCCTTGGGCCTCCTCAACTGCCACCACCGTCACTCAGTTCCCGCGCCGCGTTTCATCCGAATTGTGAAGTGTGCTGAAACGACCATGTTCAGCTCTCTGTCGAGGTTGCCATGTTCTCCTGCGTATACACCGACAATACGTCGAAATGTTGCTCAAGCTCAGGCATCACTGTCGCTCACTGGAGCAGAGAGAAAAGAGCGCCGTTCTATCTCCGGTCTGCTACCCAGACAAATCTCTTAGGGATGGACACTAGAGTAATATATCAACATGGAGAATACAGAGCCAGACAAAACGAATCCCCCCTCAAAGACCAAAAAGCCAGACACCACCGGCATTCCACAGCCTCTACAGGCAAGATATGATGGACACCCTGAAGTTCGAAGAGTTGGAAGTTGATGTCGAGAAACCCAGACTTGTTCTCGGAAAGGGACACTTCGCTGTTCAGGAAGTCATCCTTCATTTCCTTGCACCTTCTCATTCGTGCGTGGAGGCCGAACGGCCCAACGGCCCGGACGTGAGAGACATGTTCGCACGCTTAAGTCTCGAAGGCCTCTCTGCGAAGGCTTCCGAGAATACAAATGAAAAGAGAGTGCGTAAAGTCGAGGATGTTCACGACATGTTTGAGGAGAGTCGGATCGGTGCTTCCCGGCCTATCCTGGTGGTGGGCATGTCATGTTCGTCGAGCAGCCTCGACTATGACCACGAATAACTTTAAATCGTACTGCAGGTATCTTGTAAAGAGAAGATCTCTGTCCAAGTTCAAGACGCAAGCGCCTCGAGAGCGCCAGCGGGATATAGTCCCACCGACTCACGGAGCCAGGACTCCCAAGATTTACTTACCCATAGTGGTGTCATGTAGTTGTAAGCAATATATGTGTATTCCAGGTGGTAGTCACTTCATCGCTTATGAACACTCAGACTTATGTACCCGGGAGGTGATGGAGCCGTGACAGACGTGGCAGACCTGATGTTGAGTGTGGCTTGACAAGTAATCGGAATAACTTCGGTCATATTATTGCCAAGATTTATCTGCGCTAACCCAAGTTCGGAGACCGCACATTTTCTTGCACTTCCACCTCAACATCCACGTTTGATTTCAATCAACGACAAACTTCAGTCTCGACACCGCCAACATGCCCACGAGACTGACCAAGACGAGAAAACAGTGAGTCTACTCCCTTCGAATGCTCCCCACTATGTCGATATCATCACGAATGGCGCCTCGCACAACGTTGAGTCGGTCAACGATCAAAACTGCGCTTCCGACGACCTCGATCCTGCAATGCCTGGGTCAGGCTTCGCACGAGTCGAACGCACCGCCGACATATCGAGTCGCTTCGCGAACAGCGCTCACTCTGATTTCACTTGCAATATCGTTCAAAAATTGAGGGACGTGGCTAACTGTTGGAATCTTCAGCCGCGGCCATGTGTCCGCCGGTCACGGTCGTGTTGGAAAGCACCGCAAGCATCCAGGTGGTCGCGGTCTCGCCGGTGGTCAACATCACCACAGAACAAACATGGATAAATACCATCCTGGGTACGTCTGCCGCTAGGAAAATTCGGGTCTGGAGCGGAGAACGGTCTTGTTGGACCAATTCTTCCCCAGCTTGATGTTTTGTGGCCTGAGTGAGTGCTAATTGCTGGACTAGTTACTTCGGAAAGGTCGGTATGAGACACTTCCACCTGCTCAGAAACCACTACTGGAAACCCTCGATCAACCTCGACAAGGTCAGACACTTCTCTTGTCATTGACGTTGAAAACAAAAACCTAACATGTGTCTTACAGCTCTGGTCATTGATCCCCGAGGAGACTCGTGAAGCCTACGTTTCTGGCAAGAAGACCGATACCGCTCCCGTCCTGGACCTTCTCCCTCTCGGATACTCCAAAGTTCTCGGCAAGGGCCGCATTCCCAAGATCCCGATTGTCGTAAGAGCAAGGTGGTTCAGCAAGGAGGCCGAGCGAAAGATTAAGGAGGCCGGCGGTGTTGTTGAGTTGGTGGCATAAGCGGCGTCTTTGATTCTGGGCGATATGGCATGCTCGAAGTGAGAGTGCACGCTTGGTATGGTCGAATAACGAGGTACTCGATGACGGTTCTGCCAACAGGGTAAGGACGACAGATGGCTCGGCCTGCAGTATGATGTGCAAGATCTACGGAACAGTGTCTCATAAGAAGAGGCGCCGTGGGATTCAAGAAAAGTGGAAAATATTCAAAAACGAGATCAAGACGATTTCCATCCAGCGCAGCTACGTTAGTTCCACCCATGGTCGTGGCGGTGCAGGAAGAGATAAAATTCATTACAACGTTCTTCCCTGAAATTGCCATCAAAGGACCCTAGTTTGTTATTGCCTCTGTTTGCTTCATTTTGTCGGATGCCCGGACCAGATTTGTTCTGTGGGTCACGAAAATTGTCGGCAAAGTTGCCCATGTACCAACATCAGCCCCGTGAGAGCGCGTAAATGGCGACGCGACTGGGCGTGTACCACCAGCGTGTCTGTCGTAGAACCTCGCATCTCTGTCGCTCTCCGCATTCTGATAGCAGCTTGATATGTTCGCATGGCTGACGGAATGCCCATTTCTGATTTGACTGTACAATCTCTGGAGCTATCATGGACGCATCGACTCCTCTACTCGACACACCCAAACGAGCATCTCTGCAGTCTCAAGCAGACGCTCTTCGCATCGACTTGAAAGAATACGAGCGGTCATTCGCTGCGAGCCACGGCGGCCGCAAGCCAGGCAAGGGCGACATCAAGGCGGACGCTGTCATTGCAGCAAAATACAAAGAATACAGCCGAGTGCGCGATGTGCTTGCTGGAAAACGCGGCATTGATGCATTGAACACACCTCGCCGACACCAGAGTACTCGACGGCACGGACGGTCGGACAGTGCAATTGCAATTGGCCTGACACCGCATCGAAACCGGAAGAGCTTTTCTCCTTCAAGACCGCAATGGCATCCCAACGACATCGACCCTTACGACCCGCCCGCATCGATATCACCGAAAGTGATACCCCGGGCCATTGGACCGACTCCGCGAAGAGATGGCACAGTGCTGGGCATATTCGACCTGCTCTCAACGCCAGGGTCTAGGAAAAGCGTTGGAAGCACACCGGGAAGCAGAAAGAGGAAAATTGATGCACTTCACGATGGAGGTGTGGACCTTGACTCGCAAGAGCTGCCGGTGGCCCAAACCCCGAGCCAGAAACCCCGAGCGTCGAGTTATACTCGAGATGGAGGTCTTCAGGCTACTACGCCGTCAACGAGAGTGTCCGCTGGAAAGCACCTGCACTCCAAGACCCCGATCAGCGAAGGCAGAAAATTCATGCTGGATCACTTCTTCGCAACCCCCAGTGCAATCAGATTTGCGAGCATGATCAGTGGTGATGATGAGGCAGATCCTCCGATACAGAGTAAAACTCCGCTTCGTGACTTTGTCCTCAAACCCACTCCGACGAAAGACAATGGCCCGGGCAACGCGACAGCGAACGCCAACGACTTTACCCCCCCTTACTTGAAGCGGACCTTCTCCTTCAAAGAGAGACTTTTCGCAGCCTCTGGAGCCTCTGGAGGCATGTCGAGTCCCACATCCACTAGACGAGGCTCGCGACGAAGCCTAGGACATGTCAAAAGCGCGCCGAAACCGTTGAGTCAGATCATAGCAGATCTGGAGCAAAGCAAGCAGGAGACACAACAACGAGACGACAATGACGATGAAGATGACCTTGACGCACTGAGGGAAATGGAAGCCAATGAAGTCAACGTCCTCGTCAATGATAGTCAGCCCGTAGATGGAGTTTCGACAGTGATCGCCGCAGGAGACGACCCAGCACCGAAGGTATGGAAGAAACGAGGACAGAAAAGGACAACAAGAAGAGTCATTATAAGACCGGTGAAAATGAAACCATCTGCAGCGCCTCGGTTTGTCGCTGATGACGAGGATGAGGACGATGATGAGTTTGAGGCTCCGCGTGTCGACGAGTCCGAAAGCGAGGATGAACTGGCTCTTGCCGCTGAGGCTGCTTGCGTAGGCCTAGCGGGTTCACGTACGGAACATGTTTCTGCTGAAAATGAAGAATCTGATGACGGCGGATTCGACGAACCAGACATATCCGACGATGCGGACGAATACCTACCTGTGAACGATGGACCTGCCACCAAGAAGAAAGTGACAACAAAGTCGAAACACACATCATCTACCACCAGACTAGAACCACAACCATCTCTCCACCCCGATGGCTTTGTAAAGACCAAATCCAAGTCCAAACCCTCGAGAAACATCACGACAAGCAGCGCGGCCGGCCGAGACGAGAGTACGACAACCCGCAAGATCAATCCGAACGCCTACTCGCACATGAACTTCCGGAGTCTGAAGATCAAGAACAAGAATTCGAGGGCCAAGAGAGCAGGCGGAGGGGGAGGCAGGTTCTCACGAGCCAGGAGGTGAGGTGTCGATCGAACAGGACTGGCCGGTGCGCCGCGTTGTATGGCCAACCCACACCTTCTGCATTTTGCATTTGGTTCAGATGCGGATGCCTGCTAGAGGTTCTGTCTGTCTATCTTTGTGGCTGTCTCTCTGAAATGCTCAATGCTATATATACGCGTTACAATGATTCGATGCCTCAATGTGAATGTTGTCGTGTACGAACAGATCATGTGGACGAACGAGGAACAGCCGACTGTTGTGCTCGAGGCCACCAGGGGCCGTTGTGTCCGACCCGATCCTGTCCAAGGAGTGATCGAGGACTGACTGACTGAGGTACACATATACATACACTCTCTAAGTAGGTAGTGAATGAATGGAGTGGAAATGAGAACAAGTCAATGAGTGAATGAATGACAGTTATACATGGCTTTCTTTTTGGGATTCCGTTTGTTTCATTCATTGCCACCTCGCTGTATCCATCTCTATCTCTCTCTGTATGTATGTGCATGTGTGTCTGGCGTATATCTAAGTCGACTGGTTCAGCCGTCTACCCTTTCCACATGCTCGTTCGTGGACAGAGACAGAGATAGAGACAGAGACAGATGATGTAGGTATACACTCGTCGTTTCTCACCTAGAGTTCCTGGCCCAGTCTGACCAACTCGGACAAAAAGTCCTCGCCATTGACCAGTTCGGTGCTCCCGTAGACGACCCTCCTCGCCCGAGGAGCATTGGCACCGACTCCTGACCCCCCGGTGGCTCCCAAGCCGCTCGTCCTCTTGACCCAGTCCTGCAGATTGCCGTACTCGTCCATACTGCCTCCTCCCACAGTGAAGACGATTGCCTCTGTGTATCCTTGTCTCCTTTGGCCGAAGCTGGGATTCACACCTGCACCTCCGGACTGGCTACCGGGACCTCCCTTGCTGTCTCTCGACGGCGGAGTCGACCCGCTTGCTGTCCCAGGTATTCCTCTAGCATGTGCACTCCTGGGATCAAAATATAGATATCCCTCCGTCATGGCGATCGCACTGGAACTCGCGGCGGGCGGGTCCATGATCGACTCTACGATCTTGGTCACCGTTAGATCCCTGTTCGCGGGGAGAAAGTTTTTCACTCCGGACACGAGAGCTTCGAGGTTGACGTTGCTGAACGTGTTCCCGAGAGCAGTGGAGGAGAGCTTTTCGGTGAAATTCTTGGAGAGTGAGGAGAGGCCGCCAAATAATGGCGCCTGGGATGACGGCTGTTGCTGAGATGGTGCTGTGGAGCTCATCATTGTCCCTCGCGTCTCCAGACGTACGTTGGAGATGTGTTTTATTGCCGTCACGGCATCGCCTACGCCAGCAGCCGTGAGTGCAGACTCGAATTCTGATAGCTCGGATTTTGAGGGCTCCCTATCGACGCTAAGGTACCAGATGATAAATATTCTCAGCTTGTCTAACGGGTTGTTGCCCTTATCGTCCGACTTGATGAGACTGAGCATTTGGTCAGCAGTTTGTTTGGTGATGGTCTCTTCCAACTGAAAGAAGTTGTCAAGTTGGCGGTCCTTGATGCCCTTGAGCAGTGCGGTCGCGATGTTCATGTGCATGTCCAGCGTTGCTTTGCGCTCTCGCAACTCGGGCAACAGTGTTATTGCTGCTTTCAAGTGAGCTGCGGAGGCTGAGCTGTCGTTGAGATCTTCAATGCTATTCACGCCTGTTTTCCTCGTCACCTCCTCCGCGTCCGTCTTGTACTTTGTGAGTTCTTTGTCAATGTCTTCTGCGACTTGAGGGAAGGGAGCGCTTGCATTGCGCGCCCAGAAAAAGTCGCTCGCGTTAAGGTCATAAGCTCGGGGCTTTGTGGTCGGATCTCCTTCGTCGGCAACGTCCACCGTGATTCGGTTGAGGTGCATTTTCAGGACATCATGTACCAAGGACTGGTATGTCCATGAATGAGACAGCATCGGAACTAGATCGATGTTCCGGTCAAGAATTATCAGAACAGGTCGTGAGGGTGCAGAGTATAGATTGGCTGCGGAGCCTTTTGACGAGAACAAGTTATCCTTAGAGTTGAGGACATGATCTCTCAGTTTTCTGTCCAGCTTGGTGGCGATCATCTTAGCCAGCTCTGTTTGAGGGCATCGTATAATGGGCACCGATCCCATTGTGACGCTGACGCTGAACAGCCCGCTCACAATCCTGTCTATGGCTGCATCCTGGGCCTCAGCTTCTGCTTTGGCACTATTAAATGTCCAATACGACTCTTTTCCCATTGCCAAACTGAACAAGTCGGGTTCAGCGACAACAAAATTCAGGTATTGGTCGTACACTTGGGCGATGGAATCTGCTGTATTTGTGGATGCGATCTGAGCGGCAAATTCTTCCAGGAGTGGCCGAGATATCGAGGAGATGAAGTTGACATAGGCTGGAGAGTAGAGGCCACGGGCAAGGTCAGAGCATATGAGCTGGATATTGACGGGGGTGGGTTCGACGAGATACAGGACAGGCACGTCTGGTATGGGATAGCGAGGTGAGTTTATGTTTCTGTTGACCAGTCAGTGGTTGTACTGTCCTAGGCCACTTATTGGCAAACTGACAGATGTATTGTTACTCCCTTACTCCGCAGGTCATTGACGCGTAGAACACTGCTGATTATGTCTCGTCCAAGATTGTCAAACACAAGAACCTTCCATATTGGTTCCCCATTCTCGTTGAGAAGCGAGGCAGCTGGAGGACTGGCTGTGACATCGCCATTTGAGGTAGATTCGTGGTCGTGGTTCAGGCTCAGTATGCGCTCAATAGAAGCTGAGACGTGTGAGAATCCTCAAGTATGGAGTAATTCGTCCTGGAAAGGCTACTCACCTATCTGACGGTCCCGCAGAGTCTGGGTGCGGGATGCCATGACGGTCGAGGATGAAGGTCCGCAGATTGTAGGGCTAGGGGGAGTTGATGAAAGCCGACTCTCATCTTGCACTTGTAACGCCCAAGTCTAACAAGGACAACATTGCATCATGGAGAAGCAAAGTCAGTATTGAGCTCCGAGTCCCTTGTACTTTGTATAAACAGCCTCTGGAGGCACCGTGGCCCAAGGCCCTGGAACAAAAAGTGGCCGCAACTGGGCATGATGCGAGACAACCAGGCACCAAACCAAAACAGGCTTAGTCTAGAACTGCGGGTAGCGCTTTAATCTCAAGAGGTTGAACTTGGCCTTCCATCTTCTCCATCTCTCCATCTCTCCATCTCTTCCCTCTCTCACTCCCTTCTCTCATTCCTTCATCACTTCATCAATTCATCACCCCCCTCAAAATACCACCTTTTATCCCACGAATACATCCCCTTTTCCTCCTTCCTCTTTTTCACTCTGTAATCTTGTTCCTTGGCACCCTCGGACAGTGCTCTGTAATAAGTGACATTGAATGGTTCTCCATTTGGCATCACCGCATGGGCTGGAGACGGGGTGTGTTGACGTTGGCGTGACTGTGTGTGGCGCGTTCGCTCATCATCTAATATTGATTTGAATCCGCCCAAAAGACACACGTCCTTTTGAGCCTCTTTTTATACCACTCATCAGTGACGGGGGTGGATTGAGTGCATTAGTGCTTGTTTCCTTCAAACTGGTCCATACTAGAGAAGAGAGTGAATTTTTTCCTTTGAGAGACTGGGAGGTTGGCCCTTTGTTGGCCTTGTTTGCACGGTTCGAAGTGCGGGCAAAATCTCAGAAGAAGGGGTTGTGCCATTTCTCTCTCCCTTTGTCTTTAGGGAGGGAAACGGGTGGTGGTTACAAGGCACGAAAGGCGGAGGGATCAAAGGCGCGCAGGTGGCCAGGCGGCAGGGCGGCCCTTCACAGAACAGAACCCGTCCTCACCCAAAGAACAAAAACAAACCCACCTCGTTTTCCAGCCTGAGAGTTCTGGATTGAACAGCGCGAGAAAAAAAAAAAAGAAAATCCTCCCAAAAAGATAACACTAACCCCCTGTGTACCCCGGAACGACAAATTAAATTCTACGGTCTCTGCTACAAAACAAAAGCCCTCAAAAAGCCTCAGTTGTGTTGGTCAGGGCACGGCAGTCGCCGCACTTCCACTTACATTGCCCTTTCTATGCAGCCGAGCGCGTGTTGCGGCCTGTGAGTGGCAACTTTTCTCGGCATAAGCCCAAACAAACCTTTTGCTCCCTTGCAAGCCAGAGCGACTCAGCGCGAACTCCTGGGTCGCCTTGACGGGAGTATTTTGGGTTTTTTTTTGTCAGACCGAACGGCTTTCCTTCACGTGATTTGCCGGAACAGCCACTGAAGTCACGGCCGCAATCACCGCAATTAACCGCTGGACGATCTTTGACCACGTGACTGAGCCCCTAGGTCCTCTTGGGCTCTAGCCAGTGTGTCGATCTTCCCATCACCATGAATCCATCAACCAACCCGTCACTCAATGGCGCGCAACATGCAAAAGGTCAATCATACGGCTTGCTTGATGGCATCCAAGCCTATTCAGGCGTCGATAGTCTTCCCAATGGAGAAGATCTGTCTCGCTTTTTTGACCCCGAGCTTTTCGATTCCACCACCCTTGGCAGCAGCTATACTCAACCCTCGATGTCAATGTCGCATGACTACGATCCCAATGCAGGCCGACAATCGGGCACGCCAGATGTACAGCAGTATAATGTCGCCCAGCGAGCATTTCCCCACCATCAGTACACTCAACCATACTTCGACTCTCGCCAGATGACACAACCCAACTATGATCCCCGATACTATTCGCAACCCTCTCCTTCGCCAGTGGGGTTCGATGGCGGCTATTCGTATCAGACTCAGATGGGTTATCCCAACCAACAATTCAGTGCCCAGCAGCTGAGTATTCCACAACGACAGACTCCAACTCCTTCACAGAACTACGCTCCAAGGCAACAACAACAAGCACAGCCACAACAGACACCGTTCGTCAACATGGATCCGCGTGCGCAGCTATCACATGTCCAGGTGAGTGGCCGACGCTCCGTCGTGTGCAGCCCGCATTGTTTGCTAACACTGGCCCAGAACAACGACATGATGCGCTTCGGAACCTTTCAAGATCAAACTCATCAACCCTCGAATCATTTTGTGGACCCCTCCTTGCTGAACTCGAATCAGATGATGCATACAAGTAGGGGACATGTATCGCATGCTTCCAAGTCATTAGCTGATCATGGTCTGCCAGACAGCAACCATGCCTTCCAGACGCAGCAAGCTTTCATGCCCACTTCATACTTCAAGGCGGGTACGACGGTCGATCCAAGATCCTTACAAGGAAACCAACCCCTGCAGCCTATGCCATCTGTCACGTCACAAATTCCACGTCCAGGTACCGAGGTCGATCCTAGTCGTCAACGTCAGCTAACGGGGGCAGGGATCGCTATTCAGCCAAAGCCCGAACAGGATACGAAGACGACGGCTACTAAAACCCCAGATGAGCCTCAGAAGAAAAGAGGTCGTCCGAGAAAGGATGCATCTGCAAAGCCCGATGGACATCCCTCAGGATCCGAAACGGATTCCGATGACGATCTAGAGATCGAAGATGAGGAGCCTCCCGAAGTGACCCCTGCCCCACTGAGCGTATCAATGCCCACCGATGAACGAGGAAAAGCTCTCTATCATGCGGTGCAAGCTGTTTGGAGCCCTCGCAACAAGTCGGCTTCTCCCGAGAAGATCCGTGGTGGCATTGCTGGCTTTGGTGATGTTGTGCGAGGATTGAGAGACGCCTGGAAGACGAAGAATGAAAGCCTGAGAAAGGCAGAGCTTCCTGCTTCTCCCACTGCTGCAGATGCTCCAAGGTTAAAGGAAGAAGTTGCGCGCTATCGCCAAGTCATGGAAACTGTCATGATGAGGTCTTTGCTATATGGTCATCCAGCCATCGTCAATAGGTATGTTGCCTTCCCTGCCACTCTGTCGTGTCCGTGTTTATGTTGCCCTGGCCACTTCTGTGTCGACATGGCCTCATGTGGCCCAGATTCCTTCCATAGACGCAAAGCTTTCTGCTGCTTCTGCCTTAGTTGCAAGCACAGCTCGATGTCTCAGGTCCGGGATTCGAAGACGCGGATGTGCTTGCTCCTTCGGCAGAATGGTTGTATTCATAGCTCTGCATCCATAGATAGTCTACAAACCGCCTCTTTTCGTGATTCGTCTCGTATGCAAGGGCCTTGGGAACACCATGGCATATATGTGATCCGATCACGCTCAATAACGTTTACTGATAATCGCCTTTAGACTAGGCGAAAACCAATTCACAATGTCGGCCTTGTACTCGTTCATGCTCGACAGGTTCAACGCAGCCGATTACGACAGCACCCTTGTCAGCTCCATCCTCAAGGTAAGAGGGCTCTTCACCTTTGCGGTACCCTGCTAACTCGATTCAATTAGTTCGTCGTCAAGTTTGGCACTCTTGATACTGAGATGCTGGAGATGACGAAGCTGTCGAAGATTCTCCAGCGTCTGACCAAAAAGGCTACGAGTGATGTCAAGACGTTAGCACAAGCCGTTCTTGATAATGCTGTCGCGGCTACGGCGAAGAAAACTTCCACCTCTCATGACAAGAAGGGTGACAAGCCAATGTCACCTAGATCTGTTGGGAGCCCAGCAGATGGGACACGAAAGGAGGGCACCGGCGGACTCAAGCGTCTCCGGGAAGGTGATGGGTCTGCCCAGCCGGTTCTGAAAAAGGTCGCAAAATCGATTCCGCATTCCTCAAAACCTCTCGCTCTCCAAAACGCCGAACGTAGAAAGGCGCTGGAAGCCGCACACACGGCCAAGGCCGGAGAGAAAGCAACTCCTGCACCAGCAGGAACAACAGCTCCTTCAGCAAAGGCCAAAGTGGCTGTGGCCGCCCCTCCGAAATCTTCAATCTTTGCGGCTTTAGCATCAGCACCTAAAAAACCAGGCACCTCCAACGCAGAACGAGCCGCTGCAGCTGCTAAAGAGAAGGCTTCCTCATCGTCGTCTCCTTCTCTGGCTTCTACCCAGTCAGTGAAGAAACTGAACACAGGGAAAGAGTCCCCGCCGCGGACTGGTGGTTCTGCCCCTGTCGCAAAGGCCGCGACCGCATCGTCCTTCCTGGGATTGCTCGCTGATATGGAGAAAAAGCCTGAAAAAGAGGCAAGGAAAGAAGACGGAATCCCGAACGAGACTGAAGAGCAAAAGGCGAAGAGACTGCGTAAAGAAGCTCGCAGGAAACTTCGCGTCACCTGGAAAGCCGATGCGGAACTGGTGGAGACTCGCTTGTTCACCCATGATCCAGACGAAGAGCTTGACCAAGGCGACCGTTTAAAACGCGACGCTGGAGACACTGGTCGTGAAGGTGAAGCGCTTAAACTCCACAAGAACTTGGAAGATCTCGAGGACGAAGAGGACGAAGACTCTTTCGAAGAATTTGAGCCATATACACCACCGTCGGAAGTGGACTTTAGTTACCTTGAAGATGCTACCCTTGGCGACGATTCACCACACAAAATTAATTCACTTAAGTTCGGCGGGATCATGAAGCCTGACAGCCCGAGCAGTGAAGCGCAAAATAAATATGAGCAAGACACACTCATGGCACTGTACACTTCCAAGGCCGACCGTCCGCAAACCCCAAAGGAGCCAGATGAAAGCAAGGAGGAGGATGAAGGCGACTTCGAGCCTGCTGAACCCGAGACTCCCTTCGGCGAGCCCAATGAGATGACGCGACGACGAGAGACGGAGTATCTCGCACGAAAGGTCCGAACACAACCTGCCACTGATCTTGCGGCACAGATTCAAGCCATGTCTGCCCCACAGATATCTCAACAGCAACCAGGAGCCATTCCGCCGGAGCTTCAACGTGCTCTAAGCATGTTGGGTCGATCAACTCAGCCGAGCCAGCCGACCACAGCGCCGCAAGCTGCCCCCGGTGCCAATGTGAACTTGCAGGCGATCCTCCAGACAGTCCTCGGCAACCAATCGCAAACGCAGACCCAACAACCTCAGTATCTCGCCGTCAGCCAAGCCACGGCATTAGGACCAAATCTAGGCGCCCTCTGGGCCTCGATGCAACAAGGCGCTCAAGCCGGAACATCTGCCAGTACGCTTCCTCTGGGATTGGCTGGAAACCCTAGCCCCTACGTGGCTAACTTCGACGACGCTTCTCGCAAGCATGGCCGTAGCGACTCCAATGACAACGACAACGACAATGGCAGAAAAGGAGGAACCAAGAAGAAGAAGGGGGAGTCCAAACCTTACCTCTATAAGACCCAAACGTGCACCTTCTGGGAGCAAGGCAAATGTCTCAAGGGTGATTCTTGCACATATCGACACGGCGATGACGACGACAGCTAAGTCGGCTGGCTTTCGGGCGCACTTCATACTTAAACCAATGTACACTGTACACTACTAACATGTTACGGGGCTATGAATTTTTTTGCTGAGCAACTGCGACAACCGACCTCTTTTATCCCCATCATTTCTCCTTTTCAAAAGCGATTTCAAAATTCCAGGGAAGCAGGCAGGCACGTATGTGGATGACAATCAGGTTACGGTCGGATAGAGTGCTGGCTTCTCTCATGTCTCAAGGGCGCAAATCTACCTATTTCTCACCGTCATATAGCATTTCGTCCGGAGTCACACGGTGGCCAGATCCGTGGCGCGAGTTCTGGCAGGGTTTGGTAGAGAAGTGATGCAAAGCTGCTTTCAATCGCATGTGTTCAAGTTTGATGTTCTTTTCCCTATATTCCATTATAGTAGTCGGGGCGACAGTAACAGGCCGCCGTGAAGGGGTTTAGGAGGTATACGAAATACGAGGTAGATCTACTTACCTTTCAGGTAGTCGCACGCTCGGTAGGTATTATCTACGAGGTACATGTGCAGGAGCTTGGCACTGCGTAGACGTTATTAAGTGGAAAGTGGGAGAAATAATAATGACGTGGGACTCGAGGGTCGCAGCTGCTGCTTTGGTGTCTGCGATTTCCTGGCAGCCCTGGCCACCACTTACTTCCACCAGCCTGTTTCACCTAGTCACCATTGAATCGGTCTGCATTTCCACGGTCACCGGCCTTTTTCTGCCTGTAGACAATAGAATAACTCATTTTCTTGACATAGACTGCGAGAGCCACACAGTACATTACACGTCGAGCCAGCCCTTCTGTCTTCCTCTGTGCTTTCATTTGACAAGGAACATTCGAGAACAACAGGCGGTCTTCTGCGCAGGCAGTAACCAAACCCTCTACATACCTGGCCACAAGGAGAGGGCCACAACAAACTAGACGAAGTGGTCAAATCGAAAACGTTGCACGTCAAAACATGTCGGCTGCACTCGTGAGCGCGGACGACGATGTCCTTGACCCGAGTCTCCAAAACCTCATTGACCAGAAGTCGCTACGATGGATTTTCGTGGGTGGGAAGGGTGGTGTAGGCAAGACAACAACGTCGTGCTCGCTGGCAATTCAAATGGCAAAAGCTAGGAAATCGGTGCTCTTGATTTCCACCGATCCCGCTCACAACTTGAGTGACGCCTTTAGCCAGAAGTTTGGCAAGGACGCAAGACTGGTCGAGGGCTTTACAAACCTCAGCGCCATGGAAATCGACCCTAACGGCTCCATCAACGATCTCATCGGCGGCGGCGGGGATGAGGCTCAGGAAGCCATGGCAGGACTGGGTGGAATGGGCAACATGATGCAAGATCTGGCGTTTAGCGTATGCCACTCCTTCGTTCGGTTGCGAAGTCAGGTTGCTAATTTAGACAGATTCCTGGCGTTGACGAAGCCATGTCCTTTGCCGAAGTGCTCAAGCAAGTCAAATCCCTCTCCTACGAAGTCATTATCTTCGACACGGCTCCCACCGGCCACACTCTTCGCTTCCTACAATTCCCCACGGTCCTGGAGAAGGCCCTCGCAAAGATTTCCCAGCTCTCTACTCAATTCGGTCCCATGCTGCAATCAGTTATAGGAGCAAGAGGAGGTCTTCCGGGAGGGGCATCACTCGAGGAATTGACACAGAAGCTTGAGTCGCTTCGAGAGACCATTGCCGAAGTCAATGGCCAATTCAAGAATCCCGACATGACCACCTTTGTCTGCGTCTGCATCGCCGAGTTCCTTTCTTTGTACGAGACGGAGAGGATGATTCAAGAGCTGGCAAATTACCATATTGATACCCATTGCATCGTCGTCAATCAGTTGTTGTTCCCGGAGAAAGGCAATGAATGCAAGCAGTGTAACGCTAGGAGGAAAATGCAGAAGAAATATCTCGACCAGATTGAAGAGCTGTACGACGAGTTCAACGTGGTTAAGATGCCGCTCCTGACGGATGAAGTGCGCGGGGTGGAAAAGCTGAAGAGGTGAGCATTTCGCGATCTTGACGCCATCATCTCCACAAACTGACAGCCGCATAGTTTCTCGGAAATGCTGATTCATCCCTATCAACCGCCATCATGAGATCAAGCCCAGGGGTCAGTAGTGATGATAGACACAAAACTCGAGTTCCAAACTTTGCGCTGGGGGCCAAATAAAAAGCTCAATGCACCCGCGCTCTGGTGCGGACCAAATGCCAACATTGATTCAACGCCCAGACATCTGACACGAGCCCAACTCGGTAGATGATTCCTTTTCTGTCTGATGGCCTGAGGGGTCTAGATGGATTATTTGACATGTTTGGGAACCTGGGACCCGGTCGAGCCTGATTGAATGAGGAGCAGCGCCAGCCCGTACTAACGCCCCCCCGGTCCTGATCTGCGACGACTTAGCCGTCGTGCGCCTGACGTACTCTGCATGCTTTGGCCTTGCAATCCAGTGGACAATCAAAAGCCTCCGCACCCTCGTTTGTCAAATGTTATGCAAGCAGTCGACCTGCCATTGGATCACGAATGCCGCGGTTCTGACCGGACAATAACCCGCGGGCCAGGGCTTCAGTTCGCCGCACATGTGCCTTACTCATCGCACCAGGGGCCAGAAGGTTATCGTCGGGCAGGGCTGCTCGTCGGCTCTGGCTTTCCGACTTGCGACTTAAGGAAATAGGCTGCTGTGGCTGAGTCGTTAAGTCGCTGAGAACAGAAACTGCACTAAGGGCTCTGTCTCTGCCCAATCACTCAGTCCGTTTTCCCATCTGCACATCGTGGTTCTGTCCTACAAAGCCCAAATAGGATTATGGTCCAACCAGCCTTGTCCACACGTTCATGGTTCACGATATGGAGTACGAGGTCCAGCGGAAGTGTAATCTCAAAATGCATCGGTTGTCCCCTTCGCAGCTTAAAAAATCCGAAGTCTGCCGCCTCGAACAAAAGGTCCCTGGACTGTGTGCGAAGTATATTCGGCCGTACTGTCGCGAGGTGCGACATTTACATGGTCCACGGCCTTGTTGACAATTTCCAACGTCTTCACTTCGGTATCGCGCTGGGCCGAATTGCATTTTTATCACAGGCTTTGCTCACATATGCTTGATTGATCAGAGTGAATACCACTGATGCGCCACATGTATGCTCCCCAAGGACAGGATTTATAACCATTCTCCTTCCCAGAATGTACGACTCCCAGGGGGTGGCAAGCTCACCAATCCATCATCTTGGGCTCAATGCAGAAGAGTCTAAGATCGACCCACACACGACATCTTGCAGTCTGAGGTGCAGTTTACGCCGCTCCAGTCTTCATCAGCCGAAAGCCGGCATGGCGGAACAAGACCAGGATGACCGCCGGCCAGATCAACGCCCGCCAGCGTATACCGGACCTTTCCTATTTGTTAACAAGAACGCCACAAATCTTAGGTCCAGGCAGAGGGAGGAGGTGTTTGCAGTGCGGAGCCATGCCATGCAGATTGCCAGGAGATCGAGGAAGCCATCGTCCCAGACCAAAGCAACGCAGCGCGAAAGCCAGACACACCCCGAGTCAGCGACACCTGCAAGTCCGGTAGCTCAAACCGCTGTTCCCAGTCCAACAGCCGAGCCAATTCCATCGATCCAAGACATTTTGGAGCAGCAGGCGAGAGGAGTACTCCAATATCAGCAGAGACAGTCTCAGAGACGCCAGCCAGACCAATCTCGAGGCCAGTCAGCCACGCATGAATTCCCAGCCTTGTCCTCCAGACCCTCGACTCTCCCGCTGTCGACTTCCAACCTTCTTCCAGCTGAATATGCTGCCTCTTTAGCGCAACTGAGCACCGCTGCATCGCCCACCTCACTGATTCCAACCGGCGCAACAGACCCCAATGTGGCCGGACCATCGTCTCCTGATACTTTTTTCAACTCGGTCCTGCAGTTCTGGCGACTGTGCTACATGTCCAACTTTTGGCCCGCACATATCTACTTCAACCCTTCACACACGGCGGTCCAGTTCACCGACGGCTGGATTCGAAACATGGTCATCAATAATCCGGCCATGCTGCACGGCCTTTTTTCTGGCGCGCTCAGTTACATCACAAACTATCTTCCTCCCACCGACAACACACCGATGCTGTGGGCTAGGGCTATCCATCATTATGGAAAATGTCTTGAAGAAACCCGGGTTCAGCTCGCCCAACCAGGTATCAGTTCTGAAGCAGCCCTAAGTCTGATACATGGAATGACAACGTTCAGTTTTCACTGCCAAGACCTGGAGAGCTGCCAGCTCCATTGTGCGGCTTCAATGCGGCTCCTTCGAGGTCTTGAAGGGGGGCTTGAAGCGTTGCATCCAGTGCTCAAGTACCTTTTGATACTCTGCGACTCGCTTACAGCAAGCCATGCCCCAAGACGTCCGTCGATGGACCTTGAGACCTGGGCACCTAAGGCATGGCCAGAAGAGCCATCGTTACGACCACTTGATCATCTGTTCAGCTTTGATGCTCATGTCTATGAGGACACGGACAATGCAATATTTCTCCAGACCGAGCACGGCGAGGACAATGACGATATTCGGCATCTCTTGGAGCTGATTAATTGGCATCGCGAAGCATTGGCGGCAAATGAGTTGGCCTTCGCCCTTGCAGACACATCCGGCTCTCCGAACATCTCCGAATCTGTTGGCGAAGGTGGTCAGGACCGCGCCGATCCGATATATACATGGCTTTCGCTGCGTCAATACGCCTTGAGCTGCCTCTCGTCGCACAAGTACATGGACTTCCTGGAGTTGGAAGGCCACGAACCGCCACTGCTGTCACAGATACGCTATGCTTTCCACTCTAGCATGGTGCTTGCCACCAGCTACATGTTCCAGTTCGTTATGCGCTACGGTATGAACTCTCCGAGCATGGCATACATTCCGTTCCATCACCTTCGCGCGAGGCTGGACTTGCTCATGGCACTTATGAGCCAGTATAGGCGTCTGCAAGTGCCAGAAACAGGGAGGGCCCGTGGTGGAAGAGGGCCAACTAATCCGGTT